ATCCAGTTACTGTATATATACATATAGCATTCCGGCCAGTCAGCCAATGTGTGATAAATCCAGTTACTGTATATACACATATAGCATTCCGGCCAGTCAGCCAATGTGCGTTAAATCCGGTTACTGTATATATACATATAGCATTCCGGCCAGTCAGCCAATGTGCGTTAAATCCGGTTACTGTATATATACATATAGCATTCCGCCAGTCAGCCAATGTGCGTTAAATCCGGTTACTGTATATATACATATAGCATTCCGCCCAGTCAGCCAATGTGCGTTAAATCCGGTTACTGTATATATACATATAGCATTCCGCCCAGTCAGCCAATGTGCGTTAAATCCGGTTACTGTATATATACATATAGCATTCCGCCCAGCCAGCCAATGTGCGTTAAATCCGGTTACTGTATATATACATATAGCATTCCGCCCAGCCAGCCAATGTGCGTTAAATCCAGTTACTGTATATATACATATAGCATTCCGCCCAGTCAGCCAATGTCGTTAAATCCAGTTACTGTATATATACATATAGCATTCCGCCCAGTCAGCCAATGTGCGTTAAATCCAGTTACTGTATATATACATATAGCATTCCGCCCAGTCAGCCAATGTGCGTTAAATCCAGTCACTGTATATATACATATAGCATTCCGCCCCGTCAGCCAATGTGCGTTAAATCCAGTCACTGTATATATACATATAGCATTCCGCCCCGTCAGCCAATGTGCGTTAAATCCAGTCACTGTATATATACATATAGCATTCCGCCCCGTCAGCCAATGTGCGTTAAATCCAGTCACTGTATATATACATATAGCATTCCCCCAGTCAGCCAATGTGCGTTAAATCCAGTTACTGTATATATACATATAGCATTCCGCCCAGTCAGCCAATGTGCGTTAAATCCAGTTACTGTATATATACATATAGCATTCCGCCCAGTCAGCCAATGTGCGTTAAATCCAGTTACTGTATATATACATATAGCATTCCGCCCAGTCAGCCAATGTGCGTTAAATCCAGTTACTGTATATATACATATAGCATTCCGCCCCGTCAGCCAATGTGTGTTAAATCCAGTTACTGTATATATACATATAGCATTCCGCCCAGTCAGCCAATGTGTGTTAAATCCAGTTACTGTATATATACATATAGCATTAGCCAATGTGTGTTAAATCCAGTTACTGTATATATACATATAGCATTCCGCCAGCCAATGTGTGTTAAATCCAGTTACTGTTACTGTATATATACATATAGCATTCCGCCCAGTCAGCCAATGTGTGTTAAATCCAGTTACTGTATATATACATATAGCATTCCGCCCAGTCAGCCAATGTGCGTTAAATCCAGTTACTGTATATATACATATAGCATTCCCCCCAGTCAGCCAATGTGTGTTAAATCCAGTTATTATTAGACATGTGCAATTCGGTTCGGTCTGAATGGAAATTTAGCTGAATTTCAGACATTCGGATGCTTCCCGAATGTCTGAATGTCCGAAGTGCCAAATTGCAGAATTTCGGAAGTAGCGAACCGAACCGAATTTCTGAGGTGACGAATTTTGGAAGTGTCAAAGTGCCGAATTTATGAAGTGCTGAACCGAACCAAATTGCCGAAGTGCTGAATTTCAGAAGTGATGAAGTGCTTCGGACTTCTGAAAAGTGCCAAAACGGGTAGGGGTAGGAGTAGTATTAGGGGGTAGGTGTAGGGTTAGAAGTAAGTTAGGGATGAGTTAGGGTAAGGGTACCTCTAACCCTAACCTACTCATACTCCTAACCCTACTCCTAAACCTACCCTAACCATAACCCTACTCCTAACCCAACCCCAACCCTACTCCTAACTAACCCTAACCCTACTCCTAAACCAAGCCTAACCCTATCACACACAGAAAAAAAAATAGCACAGTCAGCAAACAAAGGGGACAAAACATTTTCTATATACATAAATGAGAAAATGAATGTAAAACAAGGATTAGTTGGATTAAAAACAAAAGAAGGAAGGTATGCAGAAGAGGATAAAGGTCTAGCTGACTGCCTCAATTAATATTTTTGTTCAGTATTTACAGATGAAAATGAAGGAAAGGGACCTCAGTTAGGAAAAGGGATAAATGAGTCATTTATTACACGTGAGTTTACAGAGGAAGAGGTTCTATTTCAACTGTCAAAAGTAAAGACAAATAAGTCTATTAAAAGAGCTTAGTGGTGTACTAGGATTTATTTAACCAATCATTAACAGGAGTAGTCCCAGAAGATTGGAAGTTAGCGAATGTTGTGCCCATTTACAAGAAAGGTAATAGGGAGGAGTCGCGCAACTATAGGCCAGTAAGCCTTACTTCAGTAGTGGGGAAAGTGATGGAAACCATGTTAAAGGATAGGATTGATGAACATCTAAAAACACATGGATTTCAAGATGAGAGACAACATGGGTTTACTTCAGGGAGATCATGCCAAACTAATCTTATTGATTTCTTTGATTGGGTAACTAAAATAATAGATCAGGGTGGTGCAGTAGACATTGCTTACCTAGATTTCAGTAAGTCCTTTGACACTGTTGCACATAGAAGGCTTATCAATAAACTGCAATCTTTAAGTTTGGATTCCAATGTTGTTGAATGGCTAAGGCAATGGCTGAGTGACAGCAACAGAGGGTTGTAGTCAATGGAGTATATTCGAAGCATGGTCTTGTCACCAGTGGGGTACCTCAGGGATCTGTACTTGGACCCATTCTCTTTAATATTTTTATTAGTGATATTGCAGAAGGTCTTGATGGTAAGGTATGTATTTTTGCTGATTATACTAAGATATGTAACAGGGTTGATGTTCCAGGAGGGATAAGCCAAATGGCAAATGATTTAGGTAAACTAGAAAAATGGTCAGAATTGTGGCAACTGACATTTAATGTGGATAAGTGCAAGATAATGCATCTTGGACGTAAAAACCCAAGGGCAGAGTACAGAATATTTGATAGAGTTCTAACCTCAACATATGAGGAAAGGGATTTAGGGTGATTATTTCTGATGACTTAAAGGTAGGCAGACAATGTAATAGAGCAGCAGGAAATGCTAGCAGAATGCTTGGTTGTATAGGGAGAGGTATTAGCAGTAGAAAGAGGGAAGTACTCATGCCATTGTACAGAACACTGGTGAGACCTCACTTGGAGTATTGTACGCAGTACTGGAGACCGTATCTTCAGAAGGATATTGATACCTTAGAGAGAGTTCAGAGAAGGGCTACTGTAGCGGAGAGCTGGTATTACACAGCCTATCTCCACTTTAGATCCCAGGGAGGTGCAGGAACAAGCAATATAAATCCATAGGGTAAAGTATCCAGCAGGAAAAATAACACAGCAGTATCCCAACAGCAATCCCAATAACTGGACGACACACAGTATCAGGAGCAGAACTAAAGATTTATTCACGCAGTGGCCTTATAAAGCCTGCTCCCATGCAAGGGAGGGATTTCTATTAATTTGTACAGTAGCCAATTCTGTTCTGGTAACCTCCCACACATCTCCTCCCCTCAGCTTGCATCATAATCCCCTTATCCAGCACACCAATTCCCCCCGTTTCTGGATGTACCCCTAAACTTAGGGGTACCACTTTAAATTATACATCCCCTGGTAGCCCTGATCTGGCTGAACAACATATCCAAAAATCACCTAGATCAGACCAGGAGTTCGGGAATTTTATGGAGGGAATAAAATGACCGACCGCACTGGAGTGAACAGCCGAATGGGGTTCCATGCGATGGGGCCCTGCGGTCGGTCCTGGAGTAAGGGAATAAACTGCACAAAAGCCTCTAGCTACAGAGACTAGGGAGGGTTCGCCTGAATCCCCTCGTTCGGTTGTTTCTATCTACCGAACGAGGGGCCGTTCGGTAGTTTGGAACCGAACGGACCGGGCTTGTGGAGGTCTCAGCGTTGTTCGCCTAATCGAGTGCCCGATTTGAGTTCCAGACACTCAACGGCAAAACACCACTGTTCGGGAGTTTTAAAATGGCCGCCGCCACGTGTTCGTTTCCCGAATGGCGGCCACCCCCAAGAACAAAGGACGGCTACTCAGCTTGTCAATTACCCGTTCGCAACAATGTTGCAACGGGTAATTGAAGGCACACTTCACACAGGGGAGGTCTGACTGTTCGGTAGTTTCATTCGAACAAACTAAGGGAATGAACTACCTAACATTCAGACGAATACAATACAGTTAACACATATAACTTTGCTGTTTTACACGAATGCATTCAAACACATGTAATTCTCAGGACAGCCCTGTGCCATCCGCTACAGCTACTAAACTGGTTCATGGATTGCAGGATAAAACTTACCAGGAAAGGTTAAAGGAACTTAACATGTATAGCTTGGAGGAAAGACGAGACAGGGGTGATATGATAGAAACATTTAAATACATAAAGGGAATCAACACAGTAAAGGAGGAGACTATATTTAAAAGAAGAAAAACTACCACAACAGGAGGACATAGTCTAAAATTAGAGGGGCAAAGGTTTAACCCCTTAAGGACCAAACTTCTGGAATAAAAGGGAATCATGACATGTCACACGTCATGTGTCCTTGAGGAGTTAAAAATAATATCTGGAAGTATTACTTTACTGAGAGGGTAGTAGATACATGGAATAGCCTTCCAGCTGAAGTGGTAGATGTTAACACAGTAAAGGAGTTTAAGCATGCATGGGATAGGCATAAGGCTATCCTAACTATAAGATAAGGCTAGGGACTAATGAAAGTATTTTAAAAAAATTGGGCAGACTAGATTGGCCGAATGGTTATTATCTGCTGTTACATTCTATGTTTCTATAAGTGCCGCAGTCCCGAATTTCGGAAGTGCCGAATTCCCAAATTTCGGAATGCTGAACTGTCACGTGCGTGGGCTATAGGCCCAGCCGAGACAGTGGGGAGAGTGTGGAAGTGACAGGGTTAATGACACCAGACCCCTGGTTACCTGTTGCTAGTCCCAGCAACCACTCAATTAACCCCTGCAATCCCTTCTACACTATTCCCCTTAGTACTACTGCCACCACCAAGACTTTTAAACCCGGGCGTCTTAGGTTACCCCACACACAGGAGAATTATAGTATCACAGTTCTACTTTTACTGATAAAACATATATAGTTAACCCCTTTTGGTAACGTGTTTACCTGAGCTTTCCTCTGGAGAGTGAAGCTCATAGAGAACAGAGACACAAGCTGATTAAGTAAACATTTAATCTGACAAAAAGGATTCACAGTGCTGAGTACAAAATACAGAAATAAATGACATACAGATAACAAATTGCAAAACAGTACATAAAATAAAATAGGAGAAAACACAAGAAATTCCTTACATATATTTACCCCATATAGAATTCTTGTGGGAGTCTTAGATGGTATAGGTCTCCTAGAAGTTACTGACAAAAAGAAAAATGAATAACTGACCATCCCTGGATAGTCCAACACCCTCATATATCTAAACTAGCTGTTTCTCAGTGGGCAGACACCTGGGGGGGGGATCAGAGGGGGTTGGTCTGGCAGTCTATTGCCCACTCTATGAAATTCCTTGTGTCCAGCTCTGGTGATGGCTATCTAGATGTTTTATGGTCTAGGCCTGGTGCAAGATCAAAGACCACAACAAATGTCATTCCAAGGTTTACAAAAAAAACCAACTCTTAACATATATAAACACACATCAAACACCAACTCATGCTTTTGGCATGACACCTCCCCCTTAAGATGGTGGACAGAAAAATGCACCCACAGGCTGATTTATCTGTCTACCATTAACCCTCTAGTTGCCGAGACAGGCCATCTGCATTCCCATGCAAGCTGCCCTTTTTGTGCCGGGCAGTGAAATTATACTGTTGGAGGATAGGGCTCCAATGGAGCAGTTTATCATTGTTACCTGTCACCTGCAGCAGGTTGTGATCAGTCCATACCACAGCTACCCCCTCAACAAACATGCCTGATTTGCCTGTTTCAATTTTCCATCGATCTCTGGTAACATCCCTTAAACCACACCCACTGCGCTCATGTAGTAGCTGTAAAGGGAAGAAACCAATGGATTTCTGCAGCACTCCCCGGTAAGCACACAAAAAAGCAGACAGAGAACACTCCCAGGATAGATGTGCTGTATCAACACCCATCATCTCTTTCATTTTGCGGTCTGTCTGCTGGGCTTGTTGCACTATCAGACTCTGAACCTTTGGTTCACAATCAGAAAGTTGCTCAGGTGTATGCGTGAGTTGTGATAAACTGACAAGGTTCCTGGTTCCTCCAACAGTATGTTTCCCTGCAGCCATCCTTCCTGGACCCGAAGGCTGAGTCTGCCCGTGCCCCTCACTTTCACTCCAGGTCATCACACATACCGAACTTTGGAAACTGGCTAAGCCTGCCGCAGAGTCAAGCTCACACACCCTCTGCCCTCCCTCATAGCCTTGCTGTCCCTTCACATTTTCACCCAGTGCATCACATACATCTGCTTCAGGCACATATTGGCACATATATTCCTTCAGGCCCCTCTCGCTGGAAGGCTTTTCCCATACATTTTCACAGGACACATTTGACCCCCCTTGATCAGATACAGAATTTTGCACACACTCACATAATTTCTTCTCCAAGGCAGGCCATCCTCTCGCAATCTCACATAGCCCCTCAGACTCTGCAGCCGTGACCCACTGCTGACTTGTTACCACTGCTGACTTGTTACCCTGGCTCTCACCTTCCTCCTCTCCCTTACTCTCTGACATCCCAGCCTCACAGTATTTTAATACAGGCACATCACTACTCACCCCTATCTCACATTTGGTAGACATCACTGGTTCAGTTACAGGTAGATATTTATCCACACCCTGCTCTCCCTCCCAGCAATCACACTTCACAATGTCTCCCAAAGTTTCACACAATACCTTAGGTGGAGCAGTCAGCCCTTCTGGCTCACAAACAGTGTCCGCTGGAGCATAGTGACAGAGCATCCTGCCCAAATCATTCCCCAACAGAACATTAACAGGGATATCCTCTGAAATCCCCACTTCCCGCAAACCTTTGCCCGCACCCCAATCAAGGTACACACATGCCAGGGGCACAGCGGGACGCACACCCCCAATTCCTTTGATGGACATGGTTCTTCCAGGGATTATGTCCTCCGTATTCACCACTTCAGGGCGCACCAGGGTGAATGAAGCTCCAGAATCTCTCAGTCCCACGGTCACTTGGTCACCCACAATTACACTCTGCAGGTTATCCTCTTGTTTCCCCACGGACCCACCCACAAGCAAAACTGATGGTGCCCCTCCACGGACTGGTGAGGGCATATTCCTAGTGGGGCAAGTCCTGCTCAGATGACCAATCTGGTTGCATCGAAAACAACGGCGGGCATCTGACTCACTTGACATAGCCCCGGCTACGCTGGCAGTCGGCGGTGAAGTTCTCACTGCAGATCTTACAAGTGGTGATTGAACTGTAGCTTCTCTCCAGGTCGAAGTAGCAGCTGACACAAGTCCACGCCTGGATGTGGGTGCATGGATGTCTGCATCGTCATCTGCCAGTTCTGCAGCAGCCCTAGCATTTTTTGGCTTTCTTTCCAAAATCCACTCTCTTACATTAGGGCTCCGGGTCTGCAAGAACTGCTCTAGGACCAGTAAGTCATTAAGGGCTTCATAGGTAGTAGCTTGTACTCCTGTTACCCATTGCCGGAACGTTGTTTCTAATTGTGCAACATATAGAGTGCAGCTGGATGATGGGCATTGCTGCATACTCCTAAACTTTTTCCTGTAAGACTCAGGAGTAAGGTTAAAAGTTTTTTGCAATGCAGATTTGATTGCCTCATAGTTGTTATCAGTCTCTGGGGGAAGGGACACAAACACATCCAAGGCTTTCCCTTTCAATTGTGGAGTTAAATATCTGCCCCACTGGTCTGAGGGTAGTTGATGCTGCCTGCATACTTTCTCAAAACTTTTTAAAAATACATCCAAATCTGTCCCTTCTTCGAGGGAAGGAAAATCATCCTTACGGAGCCTACGTGTGCTGGACTCTGATGCATTGCTGTTCAGTGAGGACTGAAGGGTAAATTGCAGTTTGGCAAGTTCCAGCTCATGTCTCCTTTGTGCCTCCCTTTCGGCTAGCCTCTCTGCAGATTCCCTTTCTGCAGCCTGCTGTTGGATCATCACATGCAGGGCCTCCTGAGGATTTGCAGCCATCAGTTGCCAAAATAAATCAGTTGAGCAAATGTCCTTAATGTTTTGAGGGGTACAACCACCAGGCATTTCAGTAAGCAACACTCCTGCAGTAGTAGGGAGCTCGGTAACCCTTTCAGTATCCGTCTCTGGCTGGAAAATATGGCTGTCAGCCTCCACAAGGTCAGCAATAAGTTGTGCCTTATTTTTGCCAAAAGTTGGTAAATTCTTTTCTTGGCACAACAATTCCAAGGCCTCTTTTGATTGTTTGCAATAGGCCTCCATATTCACAAATAGGATAGAGAAAGAAAAACAAAAGATGGGAGGGGAGAACTGTTTTGCACTTTGTATGTATTTTAAATCAGCACTGAGCTTGGTCTTTGGAAATTACACAAAAACAAGTATGCAATTTCTTTTAGTGCTAAGACCCCCTTTACAGGTAAAATCTAGCAAGCACTAAAAATCTCTAAATATATCCCACTAGCTGCCGCCAGTTTGTCACGTGCGTGGGCTATAGGCCCAGCCGAGACAGTGGGGAGAGTGTGGAAGTGACAGGGTTAATGACACCAGACCCCTGGTTACCTGTTGCTAGTCCCAGCAACCACTCAATTAACCCCTGCAATCCCTTCTACACTATCCCCCTTAGTACTACTGCCACCACCAAGACTTTTAAACCCGGGCGTCTTAGGTTACCCCACACACAGGAGAATTATAGTATCACAGTTCTACTTTTACTGATAAAACATATATAGTTAACCCCTTTTGGTAACGTGTTTACCTGAGCTTTCCTCTGGAGAGTGAAGCTCATAGAGAACAGAGACACAAGCTGATTAAGTAAACATTTAATCTGACAAAAAGGATTCACAGTGCTGAGTACAAAATACAGAAATAAATGACATACAGATAACAAATTGCAAAACAGTACATAAAATAAAATAGGAGAAAACACAAGAAATTCCTTACATATATTTACCCCATATAGAATTCTTGTGGGAGTCTTAGATGGTATAGGTCTCCTAGAAGTTACTGACAAAAAGAAAAATGAATAACTGACCATCCCTGGATAGTCCAACACCCTCATATATCTAAACTAGCTGTTTCTCAGTGGGCAGACACCTGGGGGGGGGATCAGAGGGGGTTGGTCTGGCAGTCTATTGCCCACTCTATGAAATTCCTTGTGTCCAGCTCTGGTGATGGCTATCTAGATGTTTTATGGTCTAGGCCTGGTGCAAGATCAAAGACCACAATAAATGTCATCCCAAGGTTTACAAAAAAAAACAACTCTTAACATATATAAACACACATCAAACACCAACTCATGCTTTTGGCATGACATGAACCAACCAAATTTTTTTTCTCTGTACATTCCGTGACGGGATCTCTCTCTACGGTCTGTGATGGGATCTCTCTCTTTACGTTCTGTGACGGGATCTCTCTCTTTACGTTCTGTGACGGGATCTCTCACTCTATTCCGTGATGGGATCTCGCTCTACGTTCTATGACGGGATCTTTCTCTCTCTGATGATGGGATCTCTCTCTGTGTTCTATGAAGGAATCTCTCTTTTTACATGCTGTGACGGAATCTCTCTGTATGTTCTATAACAGGATCTCTCTCTAGGTTCTATGGCGAGAGCTCTCTCTCTATGTTCTGTTACGGGATCTCTCTCTATGTTCCATGATGGGATCTCTTACTACGTTCTATGACGGGATATCTCTCTCTACGTTCTATGACAGGATCTCTCTCTCTTTACGTTACGTTCTATGACGGGATATCTCTCTCTACGTTCTATGACAGGATCTCTCTCTCTTTACGTTCCGTGACGGTCTCTCTCTACGTTCCGTGATGGTCTTTCTCTACGTTCCGGTCTCTCTCTACGTTCCGTGATGGTCTTTTTCTACGTTTGTGACGGTCTCTCTCTACGTTTCGTGATGGACTTTCTCTACGTTCCGGTCTCTCTCTACGTTCCGTGACGGTCTCTCTCTACGTTCCGTGACGGTCTCTCTCTACGTTCCGTGACGGTGTCTCTCTACGTTCCGTGAAGGTCTTTCTCTACGTTCCGTGACGGTCTCTCTCTACGTTCCGTGACGGTCTCTCTCTACGTTCCGTGATGGTCTTTCTCTACGTTCCGGTCTCTCTCTACGTTCCGTGAAGGTCTCTCTTTACGTTCCGTGATGGTCTTTTTCTACGTTTCGTGATGGTCTTTCTCTACGTTCCGGTCTCTCTCTACGTTCCGTGAAGGTCTCTCTTTACGTTCTGTGACGGGATCTCTCACTCTATTCCGTGATGGGATCTCGCTCTACGTTCTATGACGGGATCTTTCTCTCTCTGATGATGGGATCTCTCTCTGTGTTCTATGAAGGAATCTCTCTTTTTACATGCTGTGACGGAATCTCTCTGTATGTTCTATAACAGGATCTCTCTCTAGGTTCTATGGCGAGAGCTCTCTCTCTATGTTCTGTTACGGGATCTCTCTCTATGTTCCATGATGGGATCTCTTACTAAGTTCTATGACGGGATATCTCTCTCTACGTTCTATGACAGGATCTCTCTCTCTTTACGTTCCGTGACGGTCTCTCTCTACGTTCCGTGATGGTCTTTCTCTACGTTCCGTGATGGTCTTTTTCTACGTTCCGTGACGGTCTCTCTCTAGGTTTCGTGATGGTCTTTCTCTACGTTCCGGTCTCTCTACGTTCCGTGAAGGTCTCTCTTTACGTTCCGTGATGGTCTTTCTCTACGTTCCGGTCTCTCTCTACGTTCCGGTCTCTCTCTACGTTCCATGGCGGGCTCTCTCTACGTTCCATGACGGTCTCTCTCTCTACGTTCAATGGCGGGCTCTCTCTACGTTCCATGACGGTCTCTCTCTACGTTCCATGACGGTCTCTCTCTCTACGTTCCATGATGGTCTCTCTCTCTACGTTCCATGAAGGTCTCTCTTTACGTTCCGTGACGGTCTTTCTCTGCGTTCCATGAAGGTCTCTCTCTACGTTCCGTGACGGTCTCTCTCTACGTCTCGTGACGGTCTCTCTCTACGTCCCGTGACGGTCTCTCTCTTTACGTTCCGTGAAGGTCTCTCTCTACGTTCCGTGAAGGTCTCTCTTTACGTTCCGTGAAGGTCTTTCTCTACGTTCCGTGAAGGTCTTTCTCTACGTTCCGTGAAGGTCTCTCTCTACGTTCCGTGAAGGTCTCTCTTTGCGTTCCGTGAAGGTCTTTCTCTACGTTCCGTGACGGTCTCTCTCTACGTTCTGTGAAGGTCTCTCTTTACGTTCCGTGATGGTCTTTCTCTACGTTCCGTGATGGTCTCTCTCTCTCTACGTTCCATGACGGGCTCTCTCTACGTTCCATGACGGGCTCTCTCTCTCTACGTTCCGTGACAGTCTCTCTCTATGTTCTGTGACGGTCTCTCTCTCGCCGTTCCGTGACGGTCTCTCTCTATGTTCTGTGACGGTCTCTCTCTCGCCGTTCCGTGACGGTCTCTCTCTACGTTCCGTGACGGGCTCTCTCTCTACGTTCCGTGACAGTCTCTCTCTATGTTCTGTGACGGTCTCTCTCTCGCCGTTCCGTGACGGTCTCTCTCTATGTTCTGTGACGGTCTCTCTCTCGCTGTTCCGTGGCGGTCTCTGATGACGGGATTTCTAGTAATTGTCGGCCATTTCCGGTTGGTAATTTTCCCGCCGGTCCAGTAACGATACCCGCGCGATGTTTTTGTTTTCCAGCAGACAGTCTGGTATCGAGGCGACCATGTTCCCGTGATTTTCACACCTTTTTAGTGACTGTGATGACAGACATGCTGCAACCTCCAAAATCCCAATATGGAAGAAAGAAAAAAAAGTGCCCCCAGAGGCTCCGCCCACTGAGCCCCTCCCCCTCCTGACCACATGGCTGCAGCAGTGGGAGCCCGGCGTCACGTGACCTCCCAGAGCCCGGCATGTAGTCCCGGCAGCGCGCACTGATCTGCGAGTGCGAATAATAGAACGCGCAGAGTCCGGGGCCGCAGAGCGCACTCCCTGCCGCAGCCTATGTGTCCCTCCGCCGGAGAAGCGCCCCCTGGCGGTTACCGGAGTCAGTTCAACGGCCGCCGCCGCCGGGAGTGAGAGCCGGTAAGTGTCCGCCGCCCCCGGGGCCGGGAGTGAGAGAGGGGGCCGGGGTGTGATGGGGCTCCCCCCGGGATCCTGCCGCCGCCGCCCGGCAGACAATGAGTCCCCCCCCGCATGCTAATGAGCCGCTGACGCCACATCCGATCCTTCACCGCCGCCATCTTGGCCGAGGCTGGATCCGACCCGGAGGGAGAGAGAGAGAGAGAGAGAGAGAGAGAGCGGGCAGCGGGCTGAGAGAGAGAGAGAGACCGCCGGGCCACCTCCCCCCTCACCGGGCCCCCCCACACACAGAGACACAGGGAGAGAGAGAGAGAGAGAGCCGGCATTGTGTGAGGAGGGACCGGCCCACCTACCTCCCCCCTCACCGACACACAGACACAGAGAGAGAGCCGGCAGGTCAGAGATACTATGGGGGAGCTGGGATATTGGGGG